AAATGCAGGATGGGTGAGTGATAGCTATTGTATCATGTACACGTCACACACGTGATGACGAAATACCAACCTCCATGCAAACGAAATACGGAAGGATCAAACAGGGGAAAAACTTATGCAACAACCTAATAGTACGCCTGAAACAGGAAAGTCAGGGAAATTTTGATTTAAGATTTTTTTTCAACTTCTCAATTGATGATGAGAACGAATAATAAGGGAGTATAGTATGGCGCGGACCGCAAGTATAAGCGTTTGCTAAGGAGTGCATGATCCGCAGGGTTGCTGTATCTGTTATGATTCGACCACTACAGCGCCGTATGAGCAGCCCAGTGATTGAAAGAGTTCCGTTTCCCATTATAGCGGCGAAGCCGAGCTAAAGAGAAGGAGGAGAGCTCGGCGTCAGCCGGGCGATCCGACTGGTTTTGATGAAGGTGACAATCGGATAACAATACCGAATAAGATTGTATAGTGAAACGTATATAGCTTGCAGGGTATTTCAAGTTGATTTCGATGGTATGAACGTTTAGCACGATTCGCCATTGAACGCTTACAGTTCGACCAAGCTCATCTTGGACTGGATCGTGATTACTACTTGGACCGAGCAAAGTATGGCGAGAAGATTGAAGCTTACAAACAGTTCCTCATAAACCAGGTTAGCGCCGAGCGATATAGTAGATTCTTTCGAGGCATCTTCTCGCAAAAAGTCTGTATCATAATTACTTGCGATTGTTCCAGGTGAAACTTATTAGAGAGTACGCCAATCGTCCAAGTAGCGATAGAAAGATTGAAGCAAGATGTTGACGAGATCATCAAATTCGAAACGAAGATTGCGAAGATAATGGTAGCTAAAGAAGATAGGAAAAACTACACTAGAATGTACAACCTTCGTCGTCTCAACGATATGGATAAACTGACACCCATGGTGAGTAGAGCTTTCTAAGTGTCGCGCTGCTCTATACTGCAGGCGTAGAGCATCGACGTTTTAGCGAAGAAGGATCTAAACCGGGTCGAGTAGATGGGATTAATACGTGTCTGTTCTTATCGTCAGTTACTGCCAAGCGGTATCCCCCACGCTACGCTCGTTGCGATCACTCTAGAGATAATGTATTAAAGTGTTCTCACGCTGGAAGCGTTTGCAATTCGCTGTTTGGCAGTAGTGAAAGCGGCGTCACAATTGATCTACGTAGGCAAAGCAGGGCCAAGGATAACTTTCCACAGGCATATATCTCTGCTATATATACGCTGCGTGCGCTTGTTTATCTGCCTGAATGGGGTTATGTCGTCCGCCAAGCCACCAGTGTACAATCGTTTTCCAAGGAGGTGATGAGTTTTTTCACTTCAAAGTCACGATTTCCAAGCCAGTAATCAGGCTTTTGAAACCGAGTTCGAGACTTGTTCACCCAGGTTTCATTAGTAATTTCTGCAGAGCTACACAGCCACACCCACACTTCAGTGGTTGTGACTTTTCAAACATTTTTTACAATCTCTGCTTTCGTGGTATTTTGCACTTGCACTTTTCGGCACATACGCACTAGCTGGAAAGGATCGTACTCTGCCACGTGGGCAACTGCGCACACTTTTTAGGAGATTTGTCGAGAATTTCTGCTTCTCGTAATGGAAGATGGTGCACTTCTGCAGGAGGGAGTCTTATCATTCAAGTTAAGCTTCGCTCGCTGTGAGCGAGAATGTAACATTTACATTTAAAACCTTATCCTGCCGAGTTGCACTATTTTCCAAGAAATGGCAGGGCTCCTCACAGTGGGTGGGGTTTCCCGTCGAAAGATGCGAAATCTTCGAATAAGTATGATCCGCAAAAAGCCGCAAATGCGAGGTGGGCTAATAAGCGGGCCTTAATGTACCACTGCATAAATGCGCGCCTACGAACGGCTCCGTTGTATGAAGAATGACAGTGAAAACAATGACAGTGAGAACAGTTTCGAATGGCCGATGTTCTGTAGAATCGCGACTACGCTGGGATGTGGGCACAGCTGTAGGGGCGGGGCTTGCAGTGGTGTCTAGTGAGGCATGGGTGATTCAGTTTTGGATTTGTTCTGAAAAGTCGCCTTGAAATGTCGTGAATGTAAAGTGAAAATGCTCTATGTGTGGAGAATACACTACTGGAAGGTGATTGGATGTGAAGAGTGATTGAAGAACTTCTGCTGATGGCTGATCCTTGTAACATTCCAGGGCAAAACATGTTACATCGCTAGCTAGAAATGACTGATTTGACTCAATTATCACGCTTTCAGTGTTGAAGGCACGGCGAATAGTCCCGATTCCTTATAAGCAATTTATCTTTCAATTTATCGCTTCGGTTTATCACTCAGTTTTCTCCGTTTCTCCTTTTTCCTAAAGACGTTATCTCGTATTAAAATAATATTTGCTTGAAAAGCCCAACAATTTTTTTTATTGGAGCCCATACTGACTAGTGAGCCTGTCCTCGCGAAGCTTCTACCGTTGCTGCTTCGAGGTGCCCGTCCAGTCAAAGTGAGAATTCATATCAGCCTTCAGATTGGTGCGGGATCATATGAAAAACGTCTACCTCTTTAAGACTGTGCTCACAATCTTCGGGGAGAGAGGCGTTGACATGGGATTGAAAATATACGGCTCTATCCATCGTTTGTGGGGGCCGCAAAGGGAGAACATATGAGATCGGTGGGATGGTGAAAAATATAAAACAAATCCTAGCCGGATTATGCTTTCACCACTGAGTCTGCTGTCGATCAGGTGCTTCAAAATTTGAGTTTCTGTGATAAAAGCTTGTGCTTCACGGGGCAACATGCATACAAACAGTTTTTCTCAATACAAACGATAGGATAATGCGGGACACTTGAAGCCATAAGAAACTAATTTTGGAAAGAGTACTGTTGCGAATTCCAGGAAGAGTTCTTTTGCGTTTTCGTAAAGCGGCGGTTCCCATAATATGAAGGTTAATCTGATAATGAAATAGACTGCAACGAATAGAAGGGGTTGCACTAGGAATTTATAAAAGAAATAGCAATGAACTTGCAAAAAATGACCCTGCATCATGCCATGCTAGATCGCTGCGACTTCCCTCCGCTAATGGAGGAACAACACTGCAGCTGGTGCAGCTTTAGGTTTTAGTATAGCTTCTGATCGGTCCTTGTGAATGATTCGCTCCCTACCCCTTATCCTATAAAGGTCCCCAATACGAGTCTCAATCTTCTCTTGTGTGACTTCTAAGCTGTTTTAGTGAAATCTGCTTTCGCATAAATCATGCTGACCGTGTTTCAATATTATGAGCTCGAACCTGCGACGAAAAGCATCCAAAATAAAGCAGGATTGAAACTCTAGGCGAATAAAGGAGACTGTGATTGAAAAGAAAAAAAAACAAAAAGTGTCATAACAGAAAAGAAAACCAAAAAGAAATGCATAACAGCGCGGCCGAAATCAGCTGGTTGTCGACTATCGATTAAAGGACCGGGGGAAGGGAATTCTGGGCAGGACCAGCCGTGGGAAACAAATTTTCAGCAAGTAGGGTGTCTTTGAAGGACCATAACTTCCTCAAAAGCGGACCTATGGGGAAGAGGAAAGCGTATTCGTGTAGAGGAAGGTTTGATCTTCCTAAAAGTACTAAAATGTTCATGAAGGTCGCAAAAATCACAGAGAAATTGCCTTGGGGATTCGATGGGGATTTTTTTCAGGAACAGGTTTGAATCAATATATTTTTTGTAACTCAACATTTCACAAATCTGAGAACGGATTCGAGTGTATGAAGACTTGCTCTTTCTAAAAACCTATTGAACTGTTTCTGAAGTCCTCGGGATTCATGAGATCTGGCGATGGGGATTTCTCGCGCAGTACTACGAGCTCGCGAAAAACCCGTTTCCTGTGTACCGTTTCAAGTGAGCGTGTTCGAATAACCAGGAACGCATGTAAAACGTATCCTGTGGTGGAGCAGGAGCAGATATGGTTCGTTTAGCGCCGATCACGCTGACTTTGGATGCGCCGCGCACTGAGGTCCGCGCAGAAGTGATGGGATGGTGCAACTTGTGCGTAATGTCTGTCCACGCGAGCAAATGTGTCTATAGGATTCAGGGAGGTCCATGGCGAATCTGTGCACTTGTTTACAGTGTTTTCCCTTGCGGATGATGTAGCGTGTCCGTGTCGACGCCGCCAGATCTGTGCTCCGCCAATTGCTGACTCCGATAAAGGAGACCAAGTGCTGGAGAACGTCTGATACGAACGATATGGTAGTCCTGTCGTTTGTCGAAAAAAAACAGGTTGGCTCAGCGCCAAGCGTGATCGCGGACACGCCCCATCATCCGCAACGAACCAGAGTATGAGTTGTACTGTTTAGTCATCAACGGACTTACGAGATGTTGTCGACTTATTGATAATTCCAGTTATTTCGGATTAGTTTGATGGTTGAAAGTTTTGTACTATTTTTTACATATCCGAGTTCTCTACAAAGCAAGTTCCGCTACACAGGACTCAGCACACTGACACCTTTGCGCTGCTCGTTACTGGCTACCGCACTCATTACGACCCCCCCCCCTCCTGGCGGCCAAATACGACCCCCTATGGGGATTCCCCAACCAATGCTGTGCCCTGGTCCTGTACAGCGAAACTTACTTTGTAGAGAACTCGGATATGTAAAAAAATAGTACAAAACTTTCATTCATCAAACTAATCCGATAACTGGAAATATTAATAAGTCGACATCATCTCGTAAGTGACTAAACAGTACAACTCATACTCTGGTTCGCTGCGGATGATGGGGCGTGTCCGCGATCGCGCTTGGCGCTGAGCCAACCTGTTTTTTTTCGACAAACGACAGGACTACCATATCGTTCGTATCAGACGTTTTCCAGCAGTTGGTCTCCTTTATCGGAATCAGCAATTGGCGGAGCACGAATCTGGCGGCGTCGACAGGGACACGCTCCATACATTTGCTTGCGTGAACAGACATTACGCTCAAATTGCACCATCCCATCACCTCTGCGCGGACCTCAATGCGCGGCGCATCCAAAGTTAGCATGATTGGCGCTAAACAAACCACATCCTGCTCCTGCTCCACCACAGGATACGTTCTACATGTATTTCTGGTTATTCGAACACGCTCGCTTGAAACCGTACACAGAAAACGGACTTTCGAACAGTTCGGAGTGTTCCCCAAAAAATCCCCAACGCAATTATCTCATGAATCCCGGGAACTTCAGGAACAATTCAAGCAGTTTTTGGAAAGAGAAAATCTTCTAGAGCTCGACATTCGTTTCAGGTTTGTAAAATGTTAAGTTTCAAGAAAAATATCTCGACTCAACACTGTTACATGTTTCGCACTGCAAACTATCCAAAAAGTGTGCTCCCAATAAACCCCAACGCTGATTTCTCTGTGATTTTGGCGACCTTTGTAAACTTTTTAGCACTTTGAGGAAAATCAAACCTTCCTCTACACGACTGCTGTCTCCTATTTCCCCACAGGTCCGCTTTTAAGGAAGTTATGGCGCCCTTCAAAGACGCCCTGCTTTCCAGAAACTTGCGCTCTAATCAACAATCACCTTGCAACCACCTTGCACCGCTGGTCCTGCCCAGAATCCCTCCCCCTATCCCTCGGCCTTCAATCAGCTGATTTCGGCTGGCTTGCTATCGCTGTCGTGTTCTTTTGTTATATTCTTTTATTATTAATTTTCCGCATTTTCTTGTGTGATATGAGCCTGCTGGTTCAACATATTAAAAGTATAAAGGATAAAGCCTCCGCCGTGTGATCACACCTTTGTTCGGCATACGCGCGCATGTCTAACTTCTATTCAGACGGTAGTGCGCTTACTTGAACTGCGAATGTGCGCCACTATATCAATGACTTGCGGGGCCAGCCGATGTACAAGTCAGTGTTTTATCCTCCCAGACGAATCTGGTACCAATTTACCGTCCCCGGAGGGTAGAAGGCTTGGTTGGCCTGGGCGGGTGTCGACCTGG